AGCGATGGTCATGTATCTTATGCAGTGTGCGTGGTTTAAACTGAAGTGGCGTCACACTTACGAACCGGATACTCCATGCACTGTGGGGACTCCGCGGGCGCACGCGATGAAGTTCAACACAGAGAGCCTAGGTTTCAATGCAGATATGCGCAGATAGCGCTAATGTGAAATCCCTCTATTAAAAGCTCCCCAGGAAGCAAGCCTATGTGGGGCCCATTTGGGAAAAACCTGAGCGACCTGGGTCATCTGGGAAAGGGGCATAACCCATTATAGCCCATGTAGGGCCCATATGGAATTTCCCATAGCAAGATCTACATTGGCTGACCCATTTGGGTCTCATATGGGTCAATCCTGTGAAACCCCAAATAAGATTCCACATGGGCCAACCCATATGGGTGTCATATAGGAAAAACATGGGCTCACCCACATAGGAACTACTTGGGCCAACACAGCAGCGCTGACCTATGACCTTTCATGGCTGTACGTTCTGTACACGTGTGCTAGTGCTAACGCGCTGCATGTTTGAATTTACCGTTAGGCTTCTATGAACATTGTATGCAATTATTTTTGACTAACGTACATGTTCGGGTAGCGTTTGGGCCAAACTCAGGATTAAAAGTTTCATTTTTGCGCGTGACAATGGACTGGTTGACCTGTGACTGAAGAAAGAATTTTTTTTGATTCAGTTCAAATTTGTTCATTTGATGGCTGTAAATACAAAAGGCCAACAGAGTGCAGAGCAAAACTTCCATGAAATCTGTATGAGCTACAACCTTGTCACAGTTAGATGGTGCTTACTAGCCTGGCTAAACTTCACTTGTAATTATGCTGCGTGTATATGTAGTAGAGGTGAATTTAATCTTTCTTTTTTTGGTAGTCCACGTAGCTATATAGGAGTGGTACCCCAAGTTTAAAACCTGCATTGTGTGTACCCCTGTGTAAAGTGTTTGGGGGGCATGCAGCTCTATGACCAGGCATGCTTAGGGTCTTTGTTCAGTAAGCAGGTCAGCAGCCAAGGAATAAAGTCTGCTCTGAAGATGTGTAGGACCTGCAGTGGACTTGGTGAGTTTCTAACCTTTGTATAAGTTTACCAAATTCAATTGCCATTTACTTAATTGTGTTAAATCGTAAGAGCCATGTGCATAGAAAATTGGCCTTTTCTCTTTGATGTGTTAGAAAATAGTTCCATTTTTTACTTTACAGTTTAGTTTTGTAACAGAGTAGAAGCTTAGATAGAAGAAGACTGAGTTCCTGGAGTTAAGCAGAATTAGCCCAGCCATATAAGCTGTTTCATTAGTTCCAATCCTTGGGCTTCTTGAATATT